GTAATTATACGAATCTGATACTTTGCAGGCAGGGACTCCGGTTTCTCGGTACCATTAGGCTCCAGTAGAATAACAGGACGAAGGCTGTCACCATCCTGAAGCCCAAACTTAACGGTGAGATTCAATCCCTCCGCCTCCCTAATCCCAGCAGCAAGGCTCGCGATGTAATATGCCCTCTTGTGAAAATAGCGATAGTTCACGTAATCCTTTGCCTGAAATAAAGCACTGGGCATCGTGACTGCCAAGTCCACCGTCAACGGTACATCGCTTTTGGCACCTGTTTTCAAAGCGAGACTTCCGACCACATTGATGTTCGTTGGTTTCGAATATGATACGGTGTATTTTGTATCCTTGGCCGGGCGAGGTTCTGGAAATGGAACGGTAATACCATGCGCGCCACGCAGCTCCTTCTCCGCTTCAGAGGTTGGTTTTGGAGGCCTATCTGGAAGACATTCGATAACGCTCTTCAACTTGTGAAGTGTATCCTGAAGTCGCGAGACTTGTTTGTCATAGTTTGGCCTCGATCCATTCAGTAATTCGTCCAGCTGTAGCTTGAAGAAGGTGGATTTAAAAAAGCCGCTGGCGAGCGCAAGTTCAGCAGAGCGGTCGTTCTTTGCTCGCCCGTTGGTGCGCAGAGTAGAAACGTCGGCCTTTCGAGAGGATTTAGGGGCATCGCTATCAGTCAAGCTTTTTCGATTCGACTGCAAATATGCACTATCATTTTGTGTACGCGAGGAATCGTCCGGTGAAGGGCTCAGCCTCCTTCTTTTTGCTGCATGGGCCGACATATTGGGAAGGCTTCAAAACAAAAAAAAATGTCCTGAGCGTTGATTAAGGGAATTGTTGAATTAATGAGCCGAGCAGGATAAAGCGGCAGTTCTGTGGAGAATTCCCTCCCCTGTGATGGACTAGCTGTCCAGATTAGACTGCAATCTCTGCGTCGTCTTGTTCACTCGCTCCAGTCCTTCCCTTTTTTTTTTCCCTTTGTTGTAATTTTTAGCCTCTTGAATTTTTGATGGACTAGCTGTCCAGATTAGACTGCAATCTCTGCGTCGTCTTGTTCACTCGCTCCAGTCCTTCCCTTTTTTTTTCCCCTTTGTTGTAATTTTTAGCCTCTTGAATTTTGACTTGACGGGAAAGCAACGTCCGATCTCCGATATCCACTTTCACGTGGAGATAGCTAGCTGATTAAGCAGCCAAATGGACGGACCAACGTAGCTAATTACCGGTCCGTAATCCGTAACTCCGCGACCCCAGGTACAATTGGATCCGTCGCGAGCTACTACTACTACTTTAGTACTACTTACTTCTCCATCAAGGCATGCGCGCTTTTCTCACGTCTACTATATGATTATAATCTATAATATCTTGGACAACTTAGTAACGAGGTCTTGTTATAGCTGAATCTCACGGTTAGGTACATGAACTTGGTACCACGTCTGGATAACTTAATAATGCTGTGGCTTGAGGTTATCTACACAGTGAGCACATTAGCTATTCATTTTGGCGTATTTGTATAGTTACTGTCTATCGTAGTTTGAAATCAAGGGGCAGGCTGGGTGGTGCATAAGGTTCCAAATGTATCGAATATTCTACAGTAGTACTCCGTAGGTACCCCGCATACAGTGTAAGGTAGCCCTTCGGTATTACCATGCAACAACAGCCTAACGGTATCAGTCAACCCTCCATCGCCATAACAATCTATGGAATGATGAACAGAAAAAGAAAATAGATTTCTTGGGCTCATAATAGTAGTTAGGGACTGGGTATATTGGTTACAATGATAGTTTGATGAATTGTAAATTGCCCTGGGATGTATTAGCATTGATCATTGGCTGGACTTCTCTGACGGCAGCGCCGAAATCGCTGTTGAGTCATTAGAATTAGTACTAACTATTAACTAGTCGATTTATTATTGTCCTGACAAGATTTCTTCATCATTTACCACTTCGCCAGCATTCATTACACTACGTACCTTCTTTTGTCCGCCTCTGTTCTTACTGTCTTCGATATAGTGCCGTTTTCTTTGTGCTACAATGATCCAGGACATTGGAGGTCCAGTCCCTCCTCACACTGATCACGTATGTTCTAACCCCGCGCAACCCCGCCCAGCTTCTATTCACCACCCTTTTAGTTTTTGCCCCGGTCGCCGTCTTGGCTCGGACGAGATGCACAAGGCTTGGAAGCAAATTTAAGTCACATTTGGGCTTTACTTACATCGTCATAGGCAGTCAGTGTGTCCCTTCCAACATGGAAAGCGAATGTCGCATACGAGGAAGGAGAGTCGTGGGTTGTGGATAAGATGCAATGTGGATACCCTCGCTTCTTTATACATCCCATTATTCAGGATCTGGCGAGGGAGATCGTACGTCGCTATGGCAGCCCAGAATTGGAAACGGCTATACTATTTCCTTCTCTCAAAACATCAGGGGTCTGTTATTCGTTTCTCAAATCGAAAATACTAGCCGAGGAACCCTGTAATGTCCGGACAATAGATTTCGCCCTACCCATTCAAGGCGAAGACGCGCCGTCTGGTACGGATTCGATACTATCGTGCGTGATATATCCCATCCAACACGCGCCGATTGCCAAGCAGGTCTGGCAACATACAGGAAATGGAATCTCAAGTAGACGTGCTGAGTTCTGCCTGAACGCGTTAAGGGATGGGTTTCTCGTGGAAAGGAAACCTGCAGCTCAATGTATGGCATCGCCACGGTTTTTCAAGGGGCCAAGGAGGTATCAGGGTCGAGAGTCTATAAGTGGAATGTCTCAGGGAAGTGGAACGCACGCCCGCGACAGTACTACAGGTACAAACACGACAACCAGCAACATGCAAGATGGCCGCGAACATGTCCAGTTCATTGAAGAACGATTCGGTCGGAATCTAAGCACCTCGCTGGCCGGTCAGGCAAGGCTGGCTGTACGGCGACGCATTGCGGGCGTTCTGACAGCCGACATGGAGCTTAATGAGGCCCTTGAAGAAAAGTCAGGAGAAGGCCGTGTCGCGGGGCTGACAGAGTCCGATGTTTTTCTCTTTCCGACCGGCATGAGTTCCATCTTCAACGCTCATCAGATGTTGATGGCTGCGAGGGGAGAGATGAAGAGCATCTGCTTCGGATTCCCCTATACCGACACCCTAAAGATACTCCAAAAATGGGGCCCGGGTTGTTTGTTTTATGGTCATGGCTCTTCGGAGGATCTCGATGACCTGGAGTCGCAGCTACTGAAAGGAGAGAGATTCCTTGCTCTTTTCACTGAATTCCCGGGCAATCCGTTACTGAAAGCCCCCGATTTGAAGAGAATCAGGTCACTCGCCGACAGGTATAATTTCGCTGTTGTAGTAGATGAGACGGTAGGGAATTTTCTCAACATCAATGTGCTTCCCTATGCAGATATTGTGGTAAGCAGCTTGACCAAAATTTTCAGTGGTGATAGTAATGTCATGGGGGGAAGTGCAGTACTCAACCCCCATGGGCATTATTACGGGTCTCTAAAAAACATATTTGCACGCGAATATGAGGACAATCTTTGGGCAGAAGATGCCGTATTCCTCGAAAGGAATAGCCGCGATTTCGTATCCAGAATTGATAAGATTAATAAAACCACGGAAGACATCACGGCGATGTTGGAGGACTCTCCACTCGGTAAGCTAACAATCAAATCTCTTTGTTATTGGGTTATTGGGTGTTGCCCCTCGATGTACCTGTCTAATGTGCTCAATGCTAACTGACTTGCAGTGAAACAGGTATACTATCCGAAGTACAACTCCTCAAAGCCATTGTATGAAGCATTTCGCAACCAAAGTGGAGGATATGGCGGTCTATTTTCGGTTACATTCCATTCAACAGCAGCGGCAGTTGCCTTTTTTGATCAACTCGAAGTGCTCAAGGGACCCAGTCTCGGTACTAATTTTACACTGAGGTGAGTCAGTATCATGGTAGGCAAAAGGGCGACAAGCCTGTTAACAATGATGCTTAGCTGCCCTTACACTCTGTTGGCGCATTATAGTGAACTAGAATGGGTATGTCAACCACTCCAATTCCCGACACAGCATGGCCTTCACTCCTAGTCGAGGGTATACTCATACTTTTCATCAATTAGGCAAGCTCATTCGGTGTCGACTTTGACCTGGTAAGGATAAGTGTCGGCTTAGAAGACGTTTCGGATCTTCGCCAGCGATTTCAGCAGGCCCTGAAGGCTGTCGCTGAAGTAAACGCATAATGCGGGCTTCCTAGGAAGAGTGTCTATAGACTCATGGGAGCATGGATCATATGAACACACCGTATGATTTCCAAAACCATAACTCCTGGGGTGACTATCTAACTAGTGGAATACCTAGTAGCTTGGTGAAAGAAAGTACAGTACGAAACTTCCTAGATCCTATCGTAGCCAATCAGCCATGGCTCGGGGTTCTAGGAATTAGCCTAGTAACGTGATGAATGTTTGCTTTATCAATTTGTCACCTGTGTGTCCTTGATCTATCAAACAACAACCACTCCCCGAGTATTGTATCTGTGAACAGCTTGACTGGGGACCTTTTGACAAATGAATACAAATTATCTGCACGAAATCCACGGCCGTACGTACTACATGTCCCCGCGATCGCTGACACCTAGTAATCCAGTGTATAGCGTGCCTGATAGCATACAAAGCAAGAATTCAAGACCCAAGTAGCTAGGCAAACTTGCCGGAAAACATAGGTGATTGATCTTCCTGGTCGGCCTTTGGGATAAGAGACAGGTATAAGCTAAATCAGTTGGTATACCTCCGGCTCCGAATTGCTTTCGAGAGTATTATAAGAACAGCTATAGTGATGATGATAATCAGGACAACAATCATAACAGCAATAAGGGCATGAAAAGTGAAGGTTAAACGGTGTAGATAGGTCTGTACCCACGTTTCTCTACATGATCAGTTAGGCTAGTGCGGCCACGGAGTCACGAGACTAGCAGTTCGGAAAAAGTCGACTTCCCAATCTCGTCCGGTACCTCCCCTACCAACCTCTATCTTGGCTATGTCCAATTAATCTTAGACTCTTCGCATTTCCTTGTATGTGTCCCACTTTAGTACTCTTTATATGCTACATACTTATGTTCAATTAATGATTTACTAATTACTTACCCCTGCTTTCTTGCACTAGGTACCATCTGACAGCCACCTCTCTAGCTAGCTGTAGAGGTTCATTTGCTATCATCTGGAGATTGGTCGCGATGGCAAACTGCCTTGCAGCTCCTAGACGGCCACTTCTGGCACTGCCTTTCCTTCTGCCCTCTCCTTACGAGTGTGTCACCCTAGGTTTGCGACGCAATCAGTCTTCATACAGGCGCACAAAGCAGCGTCTACGTGTCAAGCCAGATGCCTCATTTGGCTCCTCTGTGAGCCATTCTCAAGAGGACCATATTATCTACAACCCACCGTCAAGTGCGCCGTCCGTCTACCACACGCCCACTAAATTTTTGCCCTCTGATGATATCCGGAGAAATTTGCGCAACGCGTCTGTCAAGGGTAGCAACGCCGAATCACTTCCCCTCGCAGTCAAAGTGACCACCGAGAAAAAATACCATCTAAACCCATCGGATATAAGAGAGATACGCAGGCTCAGGGCCACTGATCCAATGACATGGAGTCGGTTGAAGTTGGCCAAGCGCTTCGACTGTTCCCCAATGTTTATTGCAATGGTCTGTGAGGCTAGTCCAGAGAAGAAAGAAATCCAGAAGCGTATCTTGGAAGCTGTGCAATCAAGATGGGGATCGAAACGTCGGATGGCCAGAGAAGACCGACAGCTGCGGAAGGAGACATGGGGAAGGGATCAGTAAACCATCAATCAGCTATTCTATTCCCCAATTTGTCTTTACCTCGATCATTTCTTTTGTCACGCAAACCGCACCTCTTTACTTTCGATTGGGTGTACCAGACCAGAGAGACTTGTTAGCTTCCGCTACATGCATTGTGGAAGCGCAATTTTTGTATAAAATCATGTATTCTAGCGTTGTCAATCTTGGGAAATGGAATGTATTTTAGAAGATTGGCTGTTTAATTTTTCTTTCTTACTTACTTGTTTCTTTCATTATCTTTCTCTTTTATATTTTTTTTTCTTCATTTCAACTTTTCAGTAGCACCCACATTCTCCTGATTTTTATCTAGGTTAAGAGGCTCGTTAATGGCTATGGGCGCTTATTTGCGCTCCGGGACGGGTAACCTTCCTAAGTACACAGGTGGGCAGGACGGACAACCAACCGAATGATAGCGAGGATACTGTTAGGTAAACCTGTGTCAACCCAACAAGCAAATCAGGTTACTTCGATTATCTTCCACAGCACAAATGCCCCTCCCCCTCCGTCGCATTGCAACATCGCTTAGCTGGAGGGAGTGCAGATTATATCTGTCATCATCCACTGCACACTTCAAGGATATCCGGGCGCCACGAGTCTCTTCCATTCAACATCAAATACGCTGTCTATCTTTACGCCGCTCATTTTACGGAAACATCAGTGATCCGAAAATGGCACCGCAACTCGAACCTTTCTTTAAGCAGTAAGCCACAGCATTATTTCACTTGTCCTCAACTTTTGTTGTTGCTGTCTTTGCTTCTACTCTGGCCGTTTCCTTCCTCAGCATATCCTTATACTATGATCCGCTGGCTGACATGGTTTGGGTGACTATCTGCGCAGGGTCGACGACCTGTCTGGCTCTTTCATTGACCGTACGTTACGCTCTCCCAAAACTCTTGCCGTTGGGGATACATCCTCAAATAACTCAAAGGTCTGCGAAAGGCTGTCGCTATCCCATCTATCTCCGCACAGGATGAGAATAGAAAGGATGTCTTCAAGGTATGTACTGCAGCCCAGACTCAGCCCTTATCATTACTAAAGTGATCCCCGTTCTTCCCCATCAGATGGCCCAGTTTCTCGCTTCCGAGCTTGAGAATTTGGGTGCCGAAGTGGAACAGAGACCGTTAGGTAAACAACCTGGAAAGGAGCACCTTGAGCTCCCTCCGGTTGTGCTTGCTCGTTACGGTAATGACAAGAACAAGCGAACTATCTTGGTCTATGGGCACTATGATGTGCAGCCGGCATTAAAAGAAGATGGCTGGGCGACAGAGCCTTTTGAATTGACCGTCGATGATCAGGGAAGAATGTACGGGCGCGGAAGCACGGACGATAAAGGCCCCGTTCTCGGCTGGCTGAATGTTATCGAAGCTCATAAAAGGGCTGGTGTTGAGTTCCCCGTTAATTTACTCTGTTGCTTTGAGGGAATGGAGGAGTACGGCTCAGAAGGTTTGGAAGAATTCATTCATACCGAAGGCAAGGAGTTCTTCAAAGATGCAGATGCTGTTTGCATCTCGGATAACTATTGGCTTGGAACCGAAAAGCCTTGCTTGACCTACGGGCTCCGAGGCTGCAACTATTACTCTGTGAGCGTTTCGGGCCCTGGTCAGGACTTGCATAGCGGGGTCTTTGGTGGCACAGCCCACGAGCCGATGACTGACCTGGTTCATGTGCTTTCTAAACTTGTCGACTCGCAAGGAAATATCCTGATCCCTGGAATCATGGATCTTGTTGAGCCCCTTACGGAAGAAGAAAAATCCCTGTACCCTGGCATCAACTACACTATGGATAACCTTCACGAGTCACTGGGCAGTGAGACAAGCTTTCATTCCACCAAAGAGAGAACCCTCATGGCAAGATGGAGGTACCCGTCTCTTTCTCTCCATGGCATTGAGGGCGCATACTCTGCCCCTGGCGCAAAAACAGTAATCCCAGCTAAGGTCATCGGCAAGTTCTCAATCCGAACTGTCCCGAATATGGAAAGTGAGGATGTGAACAAACTCGTTTTCGATTACGTCAAGGCAGAATTTGCCAAATTGAATAGCAAGAACACATTGGACGTCTGGCTCCAGCATGATGGAAAGTGGTGGGTTGCCAGCCCGAAGCATTGGAACTTCTCGGCTGCAAGCAAAGCTGTGAAACAGGTTTTCGGTGTTGAGCCGGATATGACCCGTGAGGGTGGCAGGTATATCTTCCGATTCATTTTCACCATCTGGTAATCTGCTATAGATACTCAGAGACTGACATGCAAATAGTATTCCTGTCACATTAAGCTTCGAGCAAGCTACAGGCAAGAACGTCCTCCTTCTGCCCATGGGAAGCTCAACTGATGCTGCTCATTCGATCAACGAGAAGCTCGATAAGAGAAATTACATTGAAGGAATTAAGTTGCTGGGAGCGTATTTGCATTACGTTGCGGAGGAGCCTACGAACCTTTGAGCATCTGACTGTATGACACCATGGAGACTTTGCCAATCGCTTGAGTCTATGTCGCCCCTCTCACCTCTCACCCGCAGTGTGAGAACATCCAGTGAATGACTTATCCTCTTCCGATGGGACTTCGACGATACCTGGGGCATCATGACATACTTTGAAGTCTGGAGCTTAGTACCTAGGGATGGTTCGTTTCAATATAAATTATATCATTGGGATAAGCGACCCTGTAGCATCGCAAATTGCTAAGATATTCGCATTATAATCGGAGGCAATGATCACCAGTTGTTCTTTTGCATCTAAGCAATAGCAAGATATACGGCATAGGCAAGACGATAATAAATGCTCCAATAGGGTTGTATCCAATACCCGTTTGGAAGTAAGCATGCAACGAGCTTCGTAAGACAAGACTGACCGCGGTGTTGTTCCTTTCATCAGTCTTCTCCCGAAGGAGCCTTAATGGGATTCCTTTCATGTCACGTGTAATGACGACGCGCGACGACGCGACTTATCAATATCCGATAAGCCTCCAAACACGAAACAAAGATGGGCACAGTTGTTTCAGCTTCAGCGGCCAAGCCACCAAATAGTGAGCGAAAGGGAGCCATCTGGTTCTTTGTCGACCATATCTTTTAATCTGGAGCACTCTCTCTTCTCCCCACTTTTCTCCAAACTATATGCTATGGCCAGCTGTGATCCCGATATTTCAGCCGCCTTTCCTCGATGCCGTCAATGAAACGCTCTCAGACGTCCCTAGAGCCTTCGGACTTGGGTGATGAAATAACTAGCGGCTATTCAAGCTCAGTATGTGTCAGTATCAATTTAGAAGTAAGGCCGCTAACTTGGACGAACTAGCCAAAACGCCTCCGTAAGACTAACAGTCCTCTTTCAGAGGGGAGCACTGTGGACAGCAATGGTGATGAAGAAATAAGAGTCCGATCCCTTACGCAGGCGCTTGACGATGACGATGAGGATGAACTTGAGTTACGGGCTACCCAGGCCATTCAAGAAAAGTATTCGTTTACTACTGATGAACCTAATATACCTGCCGAGCATGGCATATTGGAGCGTGTTGAATGTTACAATTTCATGTGCCATGACCATTTCTATGTTGACCTAGGCCCTCTAATTAACTTTATCGTGGGCAAAAACGGTAGCGGCAAGAGTGCAGTTCTCACGGCTATTACTCTTTGCTTAGGTGGTAAGGCATCTACTACCAATCGAGGCCAGAGTCTGAAAAGCTTCATCAAGGAAGGCAAAGAGTAGGTGATATTCGATCCACTCTCACATGAAGCGAAGTTCTAATGTTGCAATGAAGGCATGCAACCATTGTTGTGCGAATCAAAAACCAAGGAGACGGTGCTTATATGCCAGATGACTATGGAAAATTCATCACTATAGAACGCCACTTCTCCAGAAATGGTACAAGTGGGTTCAAGATAAGAGCAGAAAACGGCCGTATCATGTCCACCAAGAAGTCAGAGCTCGATGCCATCATTGACTATTTCACTTTGCAATTTGACAACCCTATGAACGTTCTCTCCCAGGATATGGCCCGCCAATTTATCGGCTCATCAAGTCCTAGTGAGAAATACAAGTTTTTTGTGAAGGGCGTCCAACTCGAGCAACTTGATCAAGATTACAGGTTGATTGAGGAATCTGGTGACCAAATCGAGGAGAAATTGAGGGGCCGGGAACAGGATATAGCGATCCTGCAAAGTCGGAAGGAAACCGCGAAACGAAAGCTTGACATCTCCAATCAATATGACTCTCTGCGGAACCGGATCAGGAATGTTCGAAATCAAATGGCCTGGGCTCAGGTGGAGGAACAAGAAAGGGTATCCTTATATCTTCCCAGATCATTCATTACGTTTCTGACAGTCAACAGATAAGGGATACTCTGGACGAAGAAATTCTCGCAGCGGACAACCAGATCGCAGCTGACGAAGCTGATTTGAGCAATTTTGATGTTACTATCAGCGCGGCTGCAGCTGAGCTTGAGGCCGCTGCGGAATCTGTTCGCCAAGCTAATGCGAAGCGAGGCCAGGTTCAAGAGGAGAAAGACGAAATCCAAGTGAGGTGGGATGCACAGATGACTGAGCGTCATGGACTGCAGGTATGATCCGTAAGCACCTTGCATTCACATGAAGAGCTTCCTAATCTCAATCTTAGGCCGAACAACGCCGGATTAGAGAATATCTCAAGGCAGCAGAAGGAAGAATAGCTACTACTCAACAGAATATTGACGAAGAGAACCGGCGTTTAGCCGAGCTTAGCGGCGGTAGCTTTATTCGAAAGCAGGAGGAACTTGAGCGAGCAAAAGAAGAAGCCTCTCGGGCCCGTGCTCAGTATGAGGAACATAGTAGCGACCGTGACCGTCTTTTCCATGACATAAACGAGGCTGAAGAAGAAGTTCAGGCGGCCAAGGCGCCACTCGAGAAAATTAAAGCCGATGTCGATGAGGCTGAATCGCTCTTGTCAACCCTGAAAAGGGAAGGAGGTCCACAGAATTCTGGGTTTCACGAGAGAATGCCACTTCTTTTGAAAGCCATCGAACAAGAACGTTCCTTTACCAGTCGTCCTGTCGGGCCTCTTGGTCATTATGTGCGTCTGCTCAAGCCGGAATGGTCTTCGATTCTTGAGAACGCATTTGGCACCACGCTGAACAGCTTTGTGGTAACTTCACCCAGAGACTCGAAGATTCTCTTCCAGATCATGAGGAAAGTTAGCTGGTAAGTGTTCTGATGTTCGCAACACATCTGGTATCTCTGACAGTGCCGAAAGCGAGTGCCCCGTTCTTATAGGGAGCGATAAGCACATCAATACTGCAGGTAATGAACCCGATTCTCAGTACGATACAGCATTGCGGGTTCTTGAGGTGAGGAATTTCTATGGGCGCTATCATGGTGAGACTTGTCGAACTAATTTGCTTCTAGTTTGATAACGAGTGGGTTCGTGGGCAATTGATCATCAACCATCACATAGAAAAGATGCTGCTCATTGAGAATTTAGAAGAAGCCTCTTCTGTTCTTTTTGATGGGCAACAGCCTCGGAATGTGAAACGATGTTATAGCATTGACCAAACAAACAGACGCAGGGGTATTCATCTTTCTTTTAGCAGGACTGGTGAACCAAGTCAAGCACCAGTCCCAGCCTACAAGGGGTCTCCGCGAATGAGGTCTGATCGGGAATCTCAAATTAAGTGATTAATACCTATCTTTCTAGTCTCTTGCTGGCGCTAACAACTTTATTTCAGAGTACAGCAGAGTGTAGTGGCAGACCTAAAGCAGGACCTTAGCCGTCACGAACAAGGGCTTCGGTCTGCTCAGTCTCGGCTGGAGACCTGCAAGCAAGCCCGTCTGAGACACGAACGAAGATCAAACGAACTAAGAATTGCAGCACAGAGAATGGAAGACCGTGTCGAAGAGTTGATAGATGCACTTGACAGGGAGGCTCCCGAGGATGGGCGCCTTGACGGGCTTCGGACCGCACTCCAAGAGGCAGAAGAGGAAAAGCATCTCAATGAAGGATCCTTGAAAGACGCCACTGATGCTATGGAGGCCATGATGAAAACATTGAAAGCAATCAAGCAAGAGCTCGCAGCCAAAGACGCTGAGATCGCCATCGTACAGGAAGAGCTTAAAGTTGCTCAGGATGCGGAACGCAAGGCTGATGAAGAGCGCCGAAAGAGAATGAATGATAAAAACGCAGCAGCAGAAAGAATCGAGGATCGCAAGCGGGACAGGGATAGAATTAAAGACAAGCGAGAAGAGATCGCGGCACGTATCCTTGACTTCAGTGAAAAAGCGAATATAATCTGTGACCGAGTTGCCATCGAGGAAGGTGAAACAGCGGCTAGTCTGGACAGAAAACTCGAACGACTTCACAACGACATCAAGCGCTATGAGCAACAGTCAGTATAATTATAAGCCTACAAGTATGCCCCGCTAATCACTGCTTAGGTTGGGTGCATCTCGCGATGAATTACTTGCTGAGGTCACAAAGGCTAGCGAAGCCTATGATCGGGCTCTGAAGCAAGTAGAGGAGTTTAGATTGTTGGCTGAAGTACGTGCAGACCTCTCCGCTTCTCCCCGTGAAACATCCATTTGCTGACATAAAGCAAGGTTCTCAAGGCGACACTGAACCTCCGCAAGAACCGCTGGCTTATTTTTAGATCACACATATCATCCCGTGCCAAGGCACAATTCACTTACCTTCTGAGTGAAAGAAGCTTCAGAGGTCGGCTTCTGACCGATCATGAGGGCAAGCTTCTGGACTTACAGGTATGTTTATATTGGCCGTCCTTTTTGCAGAGGTATACTGACAGCGCTTCATAGGTGGAACCAGACATTACAAAAGACAGCGCTGGTCGCGGTGCGAAGACGCTTTCTGGGGGCGAGAAGTCATTTTCTCAAGTATGCCTGTTATTGGCATTGTGGGAGGCTATGGGTTCTCCAATTCGCTGCTTAGATGAATTGTAAGTTTTCCCGGATCTTCAACAAGCCCTGTAGCTGACATGGATTTGATAGCGATGTGTACATGGATCACATTAACCGAAAGATGGCTATTGATATGCTTGTATGTCGGAATTATCACGCTCAAACAGTACGTGCTAACGGTTCTATAAGATGCTAGCTGCCAGACGGTCGATAGGGCGGCAATTCATACTTATTACCCCCGGCTCAAGAGCAGAAATTACTTTGGCGCCTGACGTCTGTGTTAAGGAGTACGTCTGTGAACGAGATTGCTTGAACTGCAGCTAACATGATCCCTGTAGGTTGGCGGAACCCGAGAGGGGTCAGACAAGATTAACATTTTCACGGTAACTTTCAGAGGCTGTTGTAGCACTGGACTTCGTTTCCTACTCTATTGTCGCTCAGGCTATCTGTTCTCTGTCGGTTTCTATTTTTAATTTTCTTTTTTTTTCTTTTTTTTTTGGGTCAGGTTCCTTCAACCTCACTGCATATCCTGTTAATACATCAACGGCTTCCGTCTATTTTCTGGGATCTTTTCATGCAGTAGCTAGGTTACCTCTTTTACCTTTAGTGGGCCATGGGATAGACCGGGAAAGTCATGGCCTCCGCATTGGCTATACTTGGTTGAAACACTATGTGTAGGGATAAAGTGGTCTTCCGCGGTGGGAGACAATCAAATTCCTAGTCTCACTAGCAGTGAATTTGGAAAGCCGGGGGTTACCAGCAGCATATCAAGCCTAGATCCTTGCAAATCTATAAATCTGATACTGAACGAAATATCTAAAATGTAAGGCCAGATAAGAACTCACATTTTTCAGTGTATTGAACCCAGCGTGTACTTTTCCAGTCCATTGTTAGCAGTCAGTCTATGCGGTGTGGAGTAACTACTAGTTAGTTACCGCCTACGTATGTACCAGATGTGCCTAGGTACCTTAAGACTGCCACATGACCCGTGCTGCGGAAGCTGGTGTTCCGTATTTATGTGTATGATGCGTATTATTCACCACTCCCACCACCACATTGAAGTTTTCCATCCTCTTTCCCCTTCACACCCTATGATAAGCCATTCGCCTTTCACTCAGTGCGAGTCAAATCCGTTAAACAAATCCTCCTAACCCCCTCCAACACCTAATCTTAGGATCGGCTACTCATACATCCGAATTGTTCGAATCGCAGCCCACATCCGTGGCACCCAGTTCTGTCTTCCCGAGTTTCGTTCCTGGCATCCAACCAAACGGCCCGCACACAGGCACTTCACATCAAGTCGCTGTCAAGTTTCTAGTTGACGACTCAATCATCAGAGACCCCTTACACACATCCTTGTCTCTTTCGTCCCTCACTATATCTCTTTCCCGTCCTGATTCGGCTCCGAGCAGCCTCTTTCATTGGGAACGGAAGCACAATCTTTGCATCCGGCCAACTCATTCACCTCACCACCTTGTGTTGTCCACCCGACTTCCGGTCTTCTAGAAGATAGGATTCCCCAACATTAAGTATTTTAACCTATATCATTTTGCTCATAATACCACACAGGCTAATGTATTCCAGACTTGGATTGAGCTAGTGATCATTTCTGTCTGTTCCATCATCGCATTTGAGTGTTCCGCAACAAAACGGTTGGAGGAAGAACAAGCAACCTACCCCACCTCAATCCCAATATTACCTTTTTTTACACCTGATCACCATGACCGACGCCTTAGCCTCTCAGCTGAATAACACTACTTTAGGGTACATTCACTGTCGCACGCTGGTTGATCCATATGATGAGGCTAACTTGAACACTTCGAAGGGATGCGAGCTCAGACGCGAAGTGGAAGGAGCAATTGAATGTCCCTGCCAAAGATGCAAGACCACAAACTGAGGTTCGTCTGACTTATGAACAAATGGTATAAATGTCGATAGCGATCTAATGCGGCTTAGGATGTGACTGCTACGAAAGGCTTGGAATTCGAAGACTTCTATATCAAACGCGAACTGATGATGGGTATATTCGAAGCTGGGTTCGAAAAGCCTTCTCCAATTCAGGAAGAGACGATACCAGTCGCTCTTACAGGCAGGGATATCTTGGCGCGAGCCAAGAATGGCACAGGAAAAACAGCAGCTTTCGTTATCCCTACCTTGGAGCGCATCAATCCTAAAAGCACCAAGACACAAGCCCTTATTCTTGTTCCTACGAGAGAGCTGGCGCTCCAAACGTCACATGTCTGCAAAACCTTGGGAAAGCATCTTGGTATCAATGTCATGGTCACCACAGGAGGTACTGGCTTGATGGATGACATCATTCGGCTGAACGACGCAGTCCATATTCTCGTTGGGACCCCAGGAAGAGTCCTGGACCTGGCCAGCAAAGGGGTTGCTGACCTTTCCGAGTGTCCTACCTTTGTTATGGACGAGGCTGATAAATTGCTGTCACCTGAATTCACGCCAGTCATCGAGCAACTACTATCATTCCATCCTAAAGACCGCCAGGTTATGCTTTTCAGCGCCACCTTTCCACTTATTGTGAAGTCATTCAAGGTATGCTTCGTACACAAAGATATCGCATTTCTCCTCGTGGGTGCTGATATTTTTAGGACAAACACATGCGCAATCCTTACGAGATCAATCTCATGGATGAGCTCACTCTCCGCGGTATTACGCAGTATTATGCTTTTGTTGAGGAAAAGCAGAAGGTCCACTGCTTGAACACACTCTTCTCCAAGTTACAAATCAATCAATCTATAATCTTCTGCAATTCTACTAACCGAGTCGAGTTGCTCGCGAAGAAGATAACGGAATTGGGTTATTCTTGCTTCTATTCCCATGCCAGAATGCTTCAGCAGCATCGCAACCGGGTGTTCCACGATTTCAGGAATGGCGTTTGCCGGAACCTTGTTTGCTCGGATTTGTTAACTCGAGGTATTGATATTCAAGCCGTCAATGTTGTCATAAATTTTGATTTTCCGAAGAACGCCGAAACTTATCTGCACCGAATTGGTCGCTCTGGTCGCTTTGGACATCTTGGTCTTGCTATCAACCTTATCAATTGGGAAGACCGGTTCAATTTATATAAGATTGAGCAGGAACTTGGAACTGAGATCCAGCCGATTCCGCAAAACATCGACAAGAAGCTTTATGTCTACGACTCACCGGACACAATTCCACGCCCTATTGCCAACCCATCCCAGCCTCAGATTACTGCTCAAGCCGCGAATGCAAACATTGGTGAGCGTCGTCACAATCACCATATGAATGGCGGGCAGTACCAGTACGGTAGGGGCCGGGGCTCTTATCGCGGAGGTCGTGGACAAGGCCAGCGTCGCAATATGCAGAACGAAACCAAGTTTGGCACTCAAGGACAGTCAAGCGGCAAGTCCCACCCGACGCAAGTGTCATAGACAGTCATAGGGGCATGTGCTACTCCGTATTTTATTGTTCCACTTTCTACTCATATCTTGCACGTTTCCTTGTCTTTCTATCGTATTCCAAGTTCATTGTTCTGTTCGCCTTCTCTTTTCTTTCCCCCCCCCTTTCAACCTCTCGCGGTCGTTTATTCGATTGGAGAAGCCAGATTACAGGTGACTACGGTAGTCTGTTTCAAGCACATTTTACAAATGCATCCTTTCTGTCATCGTTGCTGCACTCACTTACCCGATATCATATCAACTATGATCTATGATGACGTTTGAAGAACTGTATTATAACGCATGCTCTCCCTCTTCTCTCCGTTCCGTGTACCTCTTCGGCCGCCTTACTTCGCGCTTCCTACCATCTCATTCTATACCCTACTCGACTCTGTTCTCCAGTTCGCCGCGTCAGAACATGATGTACCTGCATTAGACGGTATGCACTTGGTACGGTGAGCACCATTATTTGCCTTTCGGCTTCCTTCCATGTACATAATTTCTTCTGCTCCACACCAGATGATTCGATTTAGGGTTTCGGGGCGTTTCCGGGCTTGACTTCCGTCCATTCCTTCTTTTGGCGTTTGAAGGTCTCTTTTAACTGACAGGTGGGTATTTACTGATCAATTTCGATAGCTGCATGGCTATTCCGTCATTGCATATGCGTTATACGACTCCGAATCTTTGGGGTGAACGATGTGCCGAGTTGAAATGTCTACTCCCGACTTGCCTATGAACCTTGGCTCAGTCATGATTACAATGGTCTGCGCGATTTGTGGTCTGCGATCTGCATTCGGCGCACTGCGTTATTGGAGTTTGTTGTTATTTTATGGCTTTATAAGTGGGCCATTATTGGACCGAGTGATCTGGCCATTTTCTCACGCATCACATCCTCTCGACCAGTCACACCTAACAGTACTTCCACCGCCATAAACATTGCAGGTGGCATTTTTTGCCATCTGCTGATGGACGCCTTTGTGGATTACAGCAGAGGCTCGACGTCTGTTTGGTCTGAATTTGGTCTGAAGACACATACCCTGCTTTGTGTTCGCCGACTAGGAACTCAATCTGGCATTTCAAATAGCCTCTGACTTCGGCGGCGCAATTGTGGATGATAACTGGGAAAGGGAATAGAAGGAGGCCGGAGAGTTTGTGCATGGATGCTATGTTCAAAGGTGAAACGGGTGGGGATTTCACGGGTTGAAGAGGGAATATGACAATCCAGAAGGGAAAGAAAAAAA